AACCATTGCTGGTGATTGGGTTACCATAGGTAGGAATTTATTTGAAGACACTCAGCAGCAGCAACAACAACAACAGCAACAACCTCACTGGGTGAAGTGGAACTTCCTTCTTAGCAAACATGTACAGGATTGCACAAAATGATGGCCATCTTCAACAGTTTACCAAAATATTGGACTCACAGAGATCAATGGGATTTGTCACTAAAATACATAAATAAATTGCTGGTATTAGCACCATGACCAAATAACAACTTTTGCATGCAAGCCAGGGAACATATAAAGTCCTCCAGATGTTGCCTCTCCTCCCTTACCACATAGTCAATGGTGGGGAATTGGGAAGATGCAATGCCACAAAATTGGGATGGCCAGACATTACGTGCAATTTAGAAGTTTCCTGTGCATATATCAGGAGTGACTTGAGAAACTGCAAGTTGCTTCTGGTGTGAGAGAATTGGCCATCTATATGGACATTGCCCAGGGGACATCCAGAATGTTTTGATGTTTTATCATCCTTGTGAGAGGCTTCTCTCATGTCCCCGAATGGGAAGCTGGAGCTGACAGAGAAAGCTCATCCACACTTTCACCAGATTTGAACCTCTGACGTGTTGGTCTTTAGTTCTGCTGGCACAAGGGTTTAACCCATTGTGCCACTGGGGGCTCCTATTCAGAAGTGATCTTAAAAAGTTATAGATAACTCCTCCTAGTAGCAGGGAAACTTATCTTTAGTTATAGGTAGCCATAATAATTTCAGATAATGGTCAGTACAGAAACAGTTCATTTTTTCCAGTATTATAAAATAAAATTTCAACTGGAAATGAATGAAGTAGTCAACCTTTTGAAGAGATGGAATCCAGCATATTTCAGATCATTTCTAAATTTAGGCTGAGACATCCCATTGATACTGGGTTTTAAGGATGCCCCAAAGTTTTATTGGTACTAAAGGATGCACTTCTTTAGAATGAGAGTTTTCCAAGAACCCTTGCTCTTTTGTCCTTCGAAAAACATGATCACAATTTCCTGGTGCCTTCATGTATGCAGAAAGAATTGTGCTGCTTTTGCTGATGAGTGGAGAAGGGGGTCTACTAGATGAATTCTAAAAGGTATGTAAAGAAAACCAATCTTGCAAAGAAGCAATGGATGCTGTACCAGAGAATTCCCTACAACATCTAACTGTTGGAATACGTAAACTGAATGTACATTTGTAAAAACACAGCTACCCAATCCTAGTAGAATTGAGAATGACATGTTCAACTAATCCAGTGGTTCTCAACCTGGGGTCCCCAGATGTTTTTGGCCTTCAACTCCCAGAAATCCTAACAGCTGGTAAACTGGCTGGGATTTCTGGGAGTTGTAGGCTAAAAACATCTGGGGACCCCAGGTTGAGAACCACTGGACTAATCCCTTGAACTATTAATATCTGATGAATGCTTTAGAAGTTTATACCAGTCATATTTATAACTTACAGCTGTCAGTATGAAACTAGGGAAGTCAACCAAATGCCATACTGCATATCTGAGGGGAATGTCTGTAGTGATGAAATCTGAAAGAGTCATTTCAGCCTCAGAAGCTCCCCATGCCATTTCCAATTTTTTTTCCCTTCAGAGGGATATAAAAGCAGGAAAATAAACATTCAAGAAAAAGGAACTATAACTTATAGTGTGACCCTATACAATCTATTTCACTGATAGGACTTACAATCATAGAACTGGAAGAGACCACATGGGCCATCCAGTGTAACCCCCTGCCATGCAGAAAAAGCACAAAGTATCAATGACAGATGGACACCCAACTTCTGTTTAAAAGTCTCCAAAAAAGAAATTTCCACCACCCCCCGAGGCAATGAGTTTCACTTTTGAAAACTCCTTGCAGTCAGGAATTTTTTCCTAATGTTCAAAAGGAATCTCCTTTCCGGTAATTTAGTATCTCTAAGACTGAAGCTTTAAAACTGAATAGCTGAATTCTGTTTTCAAATTTTTTGCACATATGGCAGATCTTGATGGAATGTGTAATAGCTGTAGAAAGAACATGTCTTCTCTGTATATCTATTTGAGATATCTAGTATTGTATTCTGTATACCCATCACTATTTTTCCCTTAAGAGAAATTGTGGTAAAGGACTTTATAACACATACTGGTATGTTCAAGCTACTGCTATATACTGAGGCACATTTAATTTGAAGCACATTTTCTCATATACTCAGAGTTCAGTAGAACTAAGTCTAATGGAAGCATGCTTGATTGCCTCTGGCCTTTGTGCAACCAAATAAATGTTTAGGCTGAAATATACTAACTGCAAGAGTTATGACTATAGTTCACAAATCATGTTCTAAAAAATGAAAATGACTTCACTCTAATGATGAAAAAGAGAAGATAGAATATTTTCTGTTCTGGTTCAACAAGGATCATCATACATAAAATCAGGATATCCAGAACCACTGGTTTATTGTCTATAGTTAGGATAACTAGGGAGCCAGCATGTTGTACTGATTTGAGTGTAGGACTAGAATTCTGGAGACCAGAGTCTGAGTCCCCAGTCAGCCATGGAAACCCACTGGTGACCTTGGGCAAATTACACCCTTTCGGTTTAAGAGAAATGCAAGGGCAAGTCCCCTCTGAGCAAAGCTTGCCACAAAAAATCCTGATGGGATGCCTTATGATCACCAAAATTAGAAAGTGGCTTTAAGACCAACAACAACAACAATAACAATGACAACTGTTGTCTGTGTGATGAAGATGCCATTGGGTACCTATTATCTCTAGAAGATATATAGAAGAGAAATGTATCATTCTTCAGTGTAGCAAAAGTAAGGGTATATCAGACTCTTATTCTAATTTATCTTGTTATGACACATGAAGGTAATGCTATTAATAATGAATTCACTGATAAAGCTGAAACTTCACATGAGCATAACAACCATTCACTCTTTGCAATAGTGCTCATTCTGTACTGTAGTGCATCTTCCTCCCATGATAAGGACTTGATTTGTTTGGGTTCTGTTATTAGGTCCTTTCTACACTGCCATATAAAATCTACTTTGTACTGGATTATCTGGAAGTGTAGACTCATATAATCCCGTTCAAAGCAGATCATGTGATTATCTGATTTGATAATCTGGATTATATGGCAGTGTACACAGAACCTTAAAATAGAGCCAATTCCCTTACAGCATCTGAAGTCATTTTAGGAAAAACAGTTAGACAGCCACGCCTGGACCAACAAAATATCATTGCTCAGCATCATGGTCTCATGTAGCAGACAACAGCTCTAGCTAATGTCATCTGGGCAAAATAATTGAGAAGACAGTTGCCCTCCAACATTATCATCATCATCATCATCATTATCTGCTGTTTGGCAATGGAAACCAACACTCTTTTTTCAAGCCTTCAGTACTTCTGAAATTATCCTGCATCTTGACACAGCACCATTTATGAGACATTAGGCTGGGACTTCATGGACTGTCAGAATGTAATGGCAGTGGAGGCAGCTGGCTTCTATGTGGTGAATCTGCTCAAAGTTTTAGTCTGAACTTCAAAGGATAAGAATCTGTCTTGAATGCTGATAATGTTAACGAAAATGGTACCTCAGTTTTGCAGCATGAAATGAACTGACATTTTCATAGAATGATGAAATTGAAGGAGAATACAAGTGCCACCTCGTGTTTTCCTCTGCTGTGCGGAAATATGAAACTAAAGCATTCTCAACCAGTTCACAAATCTCAGAAGAAGACTCACCATGCTCCAAGCTAGTCTACTCCACTGTGAAACAATTTTTACAATTGAGAAGTTCTGCCTAAGGTTTAGGTGAAATCTCTCTTCTTGTAACCTGAATACATTGGTTCAAGTTCTAATCTCTGCAGCAGCAAAAAATCACTCTCACTTCATCTTCCACATGATACTCATCCAGGTATTTAACATACTTAACACATGTCCATCTTCTCTTCTGCAAGCTAAACATATTCAGTTCTCTATACCATTCCTCAAAGGGTATGATTTCTAGACCTTTTACCATGTTGGTTGCACTCCTTTGAATGCATTTCTCTCTCTCTCTCTCTCTCTCTCTCTCTCTCTCTCTATATATATATATATATATACAACTTCAGTTGTTTTTACCATCTCTCATCTGCTAAATGTAAATTTTAATGATGGAATAGACATTTGTACTCACACGTTTATGATATGCTGATTGTTCTGTATTCTAAAGGAGTCTTGTCTGATGCATGGTACAAATTTTCCAGTTTAGTGTAAATGAAATGCATCGACAGATACAAAGCCTGTGATATAATGGGAAAGCATGGGCTAGCTTACCAACTAAATTACTGCAACGTACTCTATGTGGGGTTGTTTGGAAGCTCCAACTAGTCCAACAGACTAGTCCAAGGGCAGCCCAGGCTGCTCACCAAAACAGCATACAGAGAGCATACAACCCTTCTGCTATGCCAGCTCCACTGGTTGCCAATCTGCTACCAAGCACAATTCAAGGTGCTGGCTTTAGCCTATAAAGTCCTGAATGGTTCTGGCCCAGCTTTCCTGTCTGAATATATCTCCTCCTATGAACCATCACAAAGTCTAAGATCAACAGGAGGGGCCCTGCTCTCAGTCCCACCATCCTCGCAAGCGCGACTGGTCAAGACGAGTGACAGAGCCTTCTCAGAGGTGGCCCATCACCTGTGGAACTCTCTACCCAGTCGCATTAGATTGGCCCCCTCCCTCTTGTCCTTTAGAATGAAACTCAAAACCTAGTTATGGGACCAAGCATTGGAAAAGTAAAGGCAGCAATTTAGAATGAGACCCCGTTTGTGTGAATGACAATGAACTGATCTGGACTATAATTTCAAACCTGCATGATTTAAACAATGTTTTAGTAATTTTATGTTTTAATTACTTTTATCATCAATTACTGTTGTTGGCATTAAATGAATTGTGAAGCCGTCCAGAGTCCCCCTCTGGGGCTGAGAGGAACAAGATACGAATATGTGAAAATAAATAAATAAATAAGCTTACCTAACAAAAGTTTGTCTTTATCTCTACAATCTGGAGTGTTCCATGGATTGTTACAGGAAGCCCAAGGTAACACATTTACAAGGGATGCAAAAAGGTAGAAAAGTGTGTAGCACAATATAATATTGTAATATATGGCTATTAGGACAGAGATAATCAGCATAGCAATGCCACAACCTATGGGAGAAAAAGGGAAATGGGGAAAATTAGACAGTAAATGAGACAAAAAAATTTAGTTGTTAAATAATTAAATAAAATTAAATAGATTCATATACAGATTCATTCTTTTTAAAATTATTACTTTCTTTATTCTGATTCCCCTTTTATAAGAAACGTAGGTCAGAAGTAAGCTCCCCTAAATTCAAGGGTGTAACCTCTAGGTCACTAGCCACTAGAATGTGGTCTTTTCCAAACTGCAGAAAATGTATCTTAATTTCAGTTCAAATTATCATTGGGACAGAGAAAAGGAATCACACCCATGTTTGAGAACACCAATGTATTTATTCCAGTTTCTGGGTCTATTACTTATTGTGCTATATTTTTAAAAGCAAAAATGAATGTTTTTAGAGTATCCTATTTTCTTGCCATTTGATTTTAATCTGCCCAAGAAGAGGCCTTCAAATCTTGACATGCCTCTTCCATCACTACTATACAGATGCACAAAGAAAACTCTAAAATAGCTGTGCTCCAAGATATTATCAGCAGGGGAAGTGGGAAACTAATGGGCAGGAGTTATTTAGCATTGGAGAGAACTATTGCTACGTTATTAAAAATGAGAGATACAGTCAAGGGAACATAGCTACCAAATGTTCCCCTGCTGGGAAATGCAATAAGAAGTCACTAAAGCAGAAAAGGTGCTGTGTTAATTTCATTTCTGTCTACCAAAAGTTCATCTCAAGGTCAAAGCAGGACTGCAGTATCCCAATAAATACAGCAACAATACCACACTGTTAAGGGAATCCATTCCTCCTCTCTTGTTTAAGTAGAAGACAAACCATATAAGCAAAATTTTCCAAACTGGGTTGCTGTGAGTTTTCCAGGCTGTATGTCTGTTTTCCAGAATCATTCTCTCCTGACGTTTCACCCACATCTATGGCAGACATCCTCAGAGGTTGTAAGGTCTGTTGGAAACTAGGCAAGTGAGATTTATATATCTGTGGAATGTCCAGGAAGAAAGAACTCTTGTCTGTTGGAGGCAAGTGTGAATGTTGAATGTTGCAATTGGCAAGTGTGAATAGTGCAATTGGCCACCTTTAGCATTGAATGGCCTCGCAGCTTCAAAGTCTGGCTGCTTCCTGCCTGGGGGAATCCTTTGTTGGAAGGTGTTAGCCAGACTTTGAAGCTGCAAGGCCATTCGATGCTAATCAAGGTGGCCAACTGCAGCATTCACCCTTGCCTCAAACAGACAAGAGTTCTTTCGCCCACCCTGGACATTCCATAGGTATAGAAGCCTCACTTTCCTAGTTTCCAACACACCTCACAACCTCTAAGGATGCCTGCCATAAATATGGGCAAAACATCAGGAGATAATGCTTTTGGAACATGGCCATACAGCCTGGGAAACTCACAGTAACCCTGTGATTCCAACCATGAAAGCCTTCAACAACACACTTTCCAAACCGTGCCATGACAAACTGGGTCACCTGCATTGTATAGGTGTGTTGCAGAAGCATAAAGAAAAATCTCTGAGTCTATGTAAAATAAGCAATAAATCATATATTTTTACAAATATAAATGAAAGGTTTTCATGAAATATGTGGTACTCCTATACATTGTATTGTTATAATGTATATAAGTGTATGTATGTATCTCTCATAATGGGTTGGTTTTATCTCTGGTTTGCTAGTAAAACTGAATTACTATGTTGCAAAATCATGCATGTCTAAAAAGTGTGTCCCCAACATGTAATGTTTGGAAAGCTCTGTATATAAGGCTGATTTGGCAAGACTCACCTTGTAAGGCAGGGATGGCTTTCCAAACAGATACAGGGCCCTGACTTGCAAACTGCCCCAGAGAAACCTCCAAGAAAAAGATAGGAACCCCAGCCAAAGCCAACATTGTCAAATAGGGAATAAGGAATGCACCTAATGGGAAAGGAGAAGAGAAATCTCAGAGACAGGATGGAATAAATAGTTCAATTCTCACTATCATTCCTATTTTGCATAGCACAGATGTTTTGTGCAAGATACATATTGGTCAATTTCACCCATACAGTGACAATCATTTTAGAACCAGATCTTTCTCCTTGAAAATCTCTTAGAGTTGCAAGGATGGGAATCCTGTGGCCTCCAGATGTTGCTGGGCTGCAGCTCTCGGCATGCCTTATCATTGGCTAGACTGGCAAGGGTGCTGGAATTTAGGGTCCAACAACATCTGGAATAGGCATAGGCAAACTTTGGCCCTCCAGGTGTTTTGGACTTCAACTCCCACAGTTCCTAATAGCCAGAAGTAAGGCCTGGATTATCAGTCTTGAGGTTTTGGTACTTGCTAAAAACTACACACAATACCACATGCAGCCTCCATGGATTTTCCAGTCTACTTTTATTGATCTGATGGTCCTTATAGATATATATGTATAGATATTTTTTATGAATTTTGTGATTTTATAAAGACACAAAATCATTGGGAAAAAATCTTTTTTTCTTAAGGGTTATAAAAGGGCCATTAAAGAAATTAATGACTGTACAAAACATTTGCAGCAAATTTCAAAAGAAATCTCACTGAATTCAGGTGAGCTTGTCCTCAAATTAGTGGCCTAGGAATACAATCTAATTTGAAAATCTGTGAACTGAAATCAGGGGGCTGAAACGAAGGTCAAAATGTGAGCATATGGCTCAATTTAGCTAGAACCAAGGGCCATTCCACACAGCCCTCTATCCCAGAATATCAAGGCAGAAAATCCCACATTATCTCAGTGTGGACTAAGGGCCCTTCCACACAGCCCTATATCCCAGAATATCAAGCCAGAAAATCCCACAATATCCACTTTGGACTGGGTTATCTGAGTCCACACTCAGATAATTTGGGAATTTCTGCCTTGATATTCTAGGATATAGGGTTGTATGGAAGGGCTCTCAGATAACCCAGTTTAAAGCAGATATTGTGGGACTTTCTGCCTTGATATTCTGGGATATAGGGGTGTGTGGAAGGTTCCCTAGTGAAAACTAGAGAGGTCTCCTGTACCTTCAATGTTTGTGTGGTTGTGTAAGAACACCAGCTGAACTTCTATCTTTTGTACAACCACCAATGGCAGTAAAGCCATCTCTAATCTTCACTCTGGCAACCCTAGACATACATGATTTAGAAATAGCACTTGATCATTTGATAAGTTTGGGTGACTGTGGGCCCTTCCACACATCCCTATATCCCATTATCTGAGTGTGGACTCAGATAACCCAGTTCAAAGCAGATATTGTGGGATTTTCAGCCTTGATATTTCTGGGATATAGGGCTGTGTGGAAGGGCCCTGACTCCATACTCAGATAATGTGGGATTTCCTGCCTTGATATTCAGGAATATAGAGCTGTGTGGAAGGGCCCTGTTACAGTTTTTTGTTGCTCCAATTCATGATTTTGTGACAATTCTTTATAGGACTACCTCCTGGCAAGTGGTAAGACCCTGGAACTGTCTTACAGTGGGGATTTGGGCAAGATTTTTTTATTATTCTTGCCTACCTGGTCTAGTTTTAAGAGGCAGACAAACTAATTTGCCCATCCATGGGATCTTCCACACAGCCATCTAACCCAGAATATCAAGGCAGAAAATCCCACAATATCTGCTTTGAACTGGCTTATCTGAGATGACTTCCACACAGCTGAATAAAATCCCACATTATCTGCTTCGAACTGGGATATATGGCAGTGTGGACTCTGATATTCCAGTTCAAATCAGATATTGTGGGTTATTCTGACTTGATATCCTGGGTTAGATGGCTGTGTGGAAGGGCCATGAGTCCACACTCAGATAATGTGGGATTTTCTGCCTTGATATTCTGGGATATAGGGCTGTGTGGAAGGGACCCATGATAAGGTCCTTAAATATGTGTATTTAGAAATGCTTTTCTGGTTTTTAATGTACTTTACTCCCAAATATGGGAACCCGAAGAAGCCTTTACTATTCCTAAGAAAGCTGGAACACAATCTCTGTCCTAATATTTTTAGTGCATAATAATTTAGTGGATTTCCAGTTAATGACATCCACAGAAGGTCAAGTGCAGATAGTTTGAGCGGTTTCGGCCTCCCAGGCTGTCAATTTATGGCAACCCCATAAATTTGGTAGGAATTTGCTTAGACAAGGAATGCTTAGGCCCCTTCCACACAGCTGTACAAAATATACATTGAACTGGATTATACTGCAGTGTGGACTCAGATAACCCAGTTTAAAGCCTATATTGTGGATTATCTGGCTTGATATTTTGGGATATAAGGCTGTGTGGAAGGGCCCTAACAGATTTTGCCAGTTCCTCTCTCTGAAATATAGCCTACAGCACCCGGTATGCATTGGCAGTCTCCCATCCAAATATTAACCAGGGCTGACCCTGCTTAGCTTCCAAGATCAGATGGGAATCAGTCAGCCCACTCCCCTAACTTGTATCACCCCCACAACTTGTATCTGCCTGGAAGGGCCCTTCTCCACTGCCATATAATCCAGAATATCAATGCAGATAATCCAGATTATCTGCTTTGAATCGGATTATCTGTGTCTACACTGTCAAATAACCCAGTTCAAAGCAGATAATCTGGATTTTACAGTTGTGTAGAAGGGGCTGAAATCTCTGTTGGAAAAAGCTTCTTTTTATTAGTATCAAGAAAACCTTCCATAGCAGTTAGCCATGGCAGTTAAAGTGGTATCAAATTGCATTCATTCTGCAGTGTAGATGCACTTTTGGAGCCTTCTGAAAGACAGTCACAAATGAAGTAACAATTACTGTTAACAATAAATCTATGTTCTGTGACCCTTTGGCAACAATTTATAATACAGTGGATTCTCAGGCACTTACTTAGAGGTAAATCCCATTGCCTTGCCTGGCACTGCTTCCCAGGGAAGTGGGACTGGGATTCCAGGCTGAAGGTGTTCTTTCCTGGGCTGCAAATGAATTATGACAGCCACCCCTCTCTATTGCTACCAACCTCCCTGTCCATAAAGGGAGGCAACTGAATACTTTGCTTAAGGGCAGGAAATACAGTATTATCCATATATTCTAGAACAGGCATGCGCGAATTTGGGGCCTCCCTCCAGGTATTTTGGGCTTAAACGACAGAGGCCTGAGGCTGTTAGGAATTGTGGGAGTTGAAGTCCAAAACACCTGGAGGAGTAAAGGTCCAAGTTTGCCCATGCCCAGTGTAGATGCACTTCCTACTGATTGGCCCATTACTGATTGGCCCAATCAAGAGACAAGCAGATAGGCCCCCTACTAGACTGCCATATAAAATCTAGATTATCATCTTTGAATTAGATAATATGACAGTATAGCTTCATATAATCCAGTTGAAAGCAGATTCTGTGCATTATCTGCTTTGATAATCTGGATTACATGGCAGTGTAGATGGGGACTTGATTTATTGGAACAACCATTTTAATCTTTAACTTTTTATTCAGAAGGTCAGATCTATTTATTGGGTGGGTCACCAAACAACATACTTACACTAGTTCTGTAATTCTCTTGGCTCCATCCTACAAGAGGGTGGGATCTATAGGTTGGTGGAGTAGTTAGAATTCTAGGATGCATAATTCTAGTTCAAGGGGATGTGCTAGACATCTCTAGCAGGCAATTCCAAGCCCCTCACCAGAATACAAATCTCAAAATTCCATGAAATTGAGCTATAATAGTTAAAAAGATATTTGATGAGATTTATTATTTGCTAAAAAGTTTTATTTTTCCAATTCAAGGAACTAGAGCAAAATTCTACGGACCTCACCAGACTACAAATCTCAGGATTCCACCAAAATGAGGTATAACCCTTAAAGTGGTACAATGCTGCTATAATTCTAAAGCAGAGGTGCTTTCTAAGTTCAGGTCAACAGAGGGAGGCTAACTTCTAGGGCTGGACCATAGAATCACACTGGAGGACCTAGGGCCCTTCCACACAGCCATATAACTCAGAATATCAAGGCAGAAAATCACACAATATCTGCTTTGAACTGGGTTATCTGAGTCCACACTATCATATAATCCAGTTCAAAGCAGATAATGTGGGATTTTATTCATCTGTTTGAAAGGGGCCCTAGAGAATCCTATACCCCTTCTACACTGCCATATAAAATCCAGATTATCTGCTTTCGACTGGATGATATGGCAGTGTAGACTCATTTAATCCAGTTCAAAGCAGATCATGGGGATTATCTGGTTTGATAATCTGGATTATATGGCAGTGTGGCTCCAGCCTAAGAGAGCAGATGTTAAACCAGGAGTACATCTACACTACAGAATAAATACAGTTTGACTCCATTTTAATGATGATGGGTCAATACAATGGAATTAGGATTTGTAGCTTGGTAAGGCACCAGCACTCTTTGGCAGAGATGGCTAAAGACCTTGTGAAACTACAACTCCCATAATTCCATAGCATTGGGCCATGGCAGTTAAAGCAGTGCCAAACTGTATTCATTCTACACCATAGATCAGTGGTTCTCAACCTGGGGTCCCCAGATGTTTTTGGCCTACAACTCCCAGAAATCCGAGCCAGTTTACTAGCTGTTAGGATTTCTGGGAGTTGAATGCCAAAAACATCTGGGGACTCCAGGTTGAGAACTACTGCCACAGATGCTCCCTAGATCATGTAATTTACTCTCACACACATTATCTCACTCTACTATGGAAGTGCATCCTCCCAAGGCCACTAAATAAGGATTAGATGATACCCTTTCACCTATGGGGCCTAATCTACACGGCCATATAATAGTTGAAGGTATTCAAAGACATGAATGGTCATTCTCATCAACATTAAAGTGACCCTGACTATGGCACCTTCCATATACCTGTATGAAATCTCATATTATCTGCTCTGAACTGGAACATATGGCAGTGTGGATTCAGATAACCCAGTTCAAAGCAGATGTCGTGGATTATCTGCCTTGATATTCTGGGTTATTTGACTGTGTGGAAGGATCTATAATATCATCATTATAGGGAGGGAAATAGTTGCCTCGAATTGATCCGTCCTCAAGAGTTGACTGCTTCCTCCCACCAAACTCTCGATTTCCCACCATTCCTGTCCTTATTACCACCACCTTCCCTCCAATCCCTTAGCTTGAAGCCGATCCAGAAACCCAAAGAGCCGACAGTGTCTACTTTAAGTGGCCCCTCGGGCCCGTTTAAAGCGTATTAAACGGGCTCGTGGGTCCGGACCCGGACGTTATCGCTTTCGGAGCCGCATCAGGATGTAAAAAGAGAGGAAAAGCCATACCTCCCCCATTCTTAAAGGCCAGGTACGGGAATCTCCAGACATTTCCCAGCCCTACTGCATAACCCACCATGGAGAGGATGAAATCCAGCTTGCTAGACCAGTTTCCCCGGGCTTTGTTTTCGTCCCCTTCGTCATCTTCTGTTTGCTGCAGGGAGACAAAAGGAAAAGGAAAGGAATCATATGGACTTGGAAGCCAGCGGTTGCAGAAGTAAGGATGCCTCTACTCCAGGCCTGGGCAAACTTGGGCCCTCCCTCCAGGTGTTTTGGACTTCAACTCCCACACTTCCTAACAGCCTCAAGCCAGCCCCTTCCTAACAGCCTCGGGAAGGGGAGAAAAGGAAGGGATCTGAGGCTGTTAGGGAGTGTGGGAGTTGAAATCCAAAACACCTCGAGAGAGGGCCCAAGTTTGCCCATGCCTGCTCAACACTGTGGAATTAATGCAGTTTGGTGCCACTTTCACTGCCATGGTACAATAGTATGGAATCCTGGGAGGTGTGGTTTGCAGGGTCTTTAGCCTTCTCTGCCAAAAAAAGTGCTGGTGCCTCAGCAAACTACAACTCCCATGATTGAATAGCATTGAGCCTTGGCAGTTAAAGTGGTGCCAAACTGCATTTCTTCTATGGTGTAGCTGCACCCCTTGTCTGACACTCCCCACTGCCTTTCCCCAAACAAGATTTCTATCCCTCTCCTCCTTGGAATCGTCCTACAGTCTCCCAACACGCTAGAAAATAAATCCACTTAAAATCCGGTTTCTGCCTCCTGCAGAATTCTGGGATTTGTAGTTTAGTGAGGTTGTTAAAGGCTCCTCTCTAAATTACAACCCCCAGGATTCTGCAGGAGGCAGCAACCGGATTTTAAGTGGGTTTATTCTCTAGTGGGATGAAGTGGGGCGTATTTACAGCATAGCTGTAACTTAAAACGTCCGTGAAGCATTTTTTAAAAATGCAGTTTAGATCTCCACACAAAAGCGGTGGGCGACCCAGGAAAAGCGAACACAACCAATATAAGCCTCGTATCTCCATTTCGGAACTGATAAGGGACTGGGAATTCTCATTTGGGAGTAATGATACCGAGACATGATCTAGATTAGAATATATATACGAACTTTTCGAATCGGACAATTTTGTCATACGAAGGGGGAAAACTGCATAACAATTGAATATACGTGTTGTTGCCAAGCATTTTGAATACCCAAATTCATCTAAAACCAGAATGGTTTATTTCGGAACGGTTAAATTCCTATGGAAGAGTGAAATGGATAGGTTGAGCAGAAATGAACAAACTGTCCCCTTTGCTCACGAGTGACATCTCTCTCCCAAAGACTAGAAAACATTGATGGACCTTTTGCAAAAACAGAAGAAAAAAATAAATTGACTTGATAAGTTTTAGTTCTGGTTCTGAAAGTTACAAGGAATTAGTTTTAGGGGTGCAATAGTTAAACCCTTGTGCTGGCAGGACTGCTGGGGTGAGCTCCCATCTGTCAGCTCCAGCTTCCCATACTGGGACACGAGAAAAGCCTTCCACAGGATGGTAGAACATCCGGGCGTCCCTTGGGCAACGTCCTTGCAGACGGCCAATTCTCTCACACCAGAAGCGACTTGCAGTTTCTCAAGTCGTTCCTGACACCAATAGATAGATAGATGGATGGATGGATGGATGGATGGATGGATGGATGGATGGATGGATGGATGGATAGATAGATAGATAGATAGATAGATAGATAGATAGATAGATAGATAGATAGATAGATAGATAGATAGATAGATAGATAGATAGATAGGAGAAAAAGGAGGGCTAGTTTTCAATTGTGAGGAGTGATATACGAATAATTATGTAATGTCAGGAGACAATGCTTCTAGAACATGGCCATATAGCCCGAAAAACCTACAACAACCCAATTATGTAATTTGTAGTAAAATAGTAATAATAATAATAATAATAATAATAATAATAATAATAATAATAATAATAATACTTTATTTATAACCCGCCCTATCGCCTCGGGGGACTCAGGGTGGGTTTCCAGCAAAATAAACACAATGGCAAACATTCAATGCCAAAACAACAATCACAAATAAAACCAACGGGTAAAAAAACAGACTCAATAAAATATAAAAGAACAATCTCAAGAGTAGCAGAAATCAATCGTTTCCTAGTTTCCCTTCCCTTTCTCTTCTTGCAATGCATGTTAAATCTCCCTTTTCGGGGAAATTCGAAAATGCTAAAAGTGTCCACATGGGTTTCTGAAAGAGTGATACCTTTGATTTTGGACACTTTAGTGTACACACACACCGATTATTTTTTAAAATAGGAAGAAAATTGTCTCTCAGGCTATGGGTATAAAGCGTGAAACATCAATGAATTCCGTGTAGGTGGCATCTAGAAGATTATGGGTATGGGCATTCCAAAATCTAGGGGGAAAACAGAAAATCAAAAAACACCTGGTCCCAAAATAATTTGGAGAAAGAATACGCAGGGTGGTACTACACTGCCCTATATCCCAGGCTCTGATCCCAGATTATCTGTTTATTCCAGATTATCTGGCAGTGTAGGCTCATATTATCCAGTTCAAAGCAGAGAATTAGATATCAGATGCTGGGATATAGGGCAGTGTAGATCCAGCCTCAGCCTCCATCCCCGAATGCCCCTCTCCTGTGCCAACTGGGGACCAGCTGTGCCCGGCAGGCTTTCTTCCCTGACCCCAAGTAACGATTGAAGTGTCAGGGAGGGAATGATTGATCACCGGGGCTGGGGCCGGTGGGGCTGGCTTTGGGACCCTGCGCTCCTTGCTTGGGTGCGCTTTGGAGGTGCCTTGCCTGCGGGACCCCCTTCTCCCCCACCGAGACAAATTGGGATCAGCAACTGTGCGTAAAAAGCAAGCCAAGCAGGGCACTGTTCGTCGAAATTTCTCCCCAGACCTGTTGTTTTCCAGCGAGACTCAAATCTAGCGATCTTGGAGTATTTATTGACCACAAAAGCCTCGTCACACTAGAGAAAAAATCCACGTAAAATCCGGTTTCTGCTGCCTTCGGAATTCTGGGGTTTGTAGTTTTGAAAGGAGCCTCTAACAGCCTCACTAAATTACAAATCCCAGAATTCTGCAGGAGGCAGAAACCGGATTTTAAGTAGATTTTTTTTCTCTAATGTGATGATTTTGGTGTCTCAAACCTTAGCACTGTGTTTGGGTATATTTGGCCTACTGATTCCAAAAATGGCGCCCGTTTGTATCAGCTCTGGGTTTTGAGATGCAAACCATAAGCCATCTCTACCAATTGCCCATAGAAAAGCATTACACCCATATCTTTAAAAAAACCTAGAGCTGTGGCAATCTATTGAATGCATTTTCTGACTCTGTGTCCCAAGTAACCTTAGGAATAGGCCTTTAAAAAGACACAAAGAATTGTTGTTGTTGGGCTGTGTTTCCCATCGAAGCCTAAAGGGCAGATCTGAGTTTGTATTTTTGCGCTCATGCATAATCATCATCATCATCATAATCTATATAAATAAAAATGTAATGTTCGTTTGTGGAATCAACATAACTCAAAAACCACTGGACGAATCGACACCAAATTTGGACACAATACACCTATCAGGCCAACGAGTGACCATCACTCATAAAAACAATGAAAAACATAACAAAAAGACTTTAAAAGCCAAAAAAATAAAAATTACATTACAACACATGCGCAAAACCACATATATACGCATATACACAAATATACACACAAAAAACATATATACACAGGCTGGGCCACAGCAACGCGTGGCAAGGGATGGCTAGTCTATATAAATAAAAATGTAATGCTCGTTTGTGGGATTAACATAACACAAAAAGCACTGGACGAATTGACACCAAATTTGGACACAATACACCTACCTATCAGGCCAACGAGTGACCATCACTCATAAAAACACTACAAATACAGTGAAAGGGACTTAACAAGCCAAAGTATAAAAAATTCATTACAATGCATGTGCATAACCATATATATATGCAAACACACATATATACACAAAAGCACAAATATATACACACACAAAGCACGTATACACAGACTGGGCCACAGCAACTCGTGACAGGGGACACAGGGGACGGCTAGTTGTTGTTATTATTATTATTACTATTATCATTATCATTATTATTATTATTTTATCTATATCCTGCCACCATCTTCCAAAAAGGACTCAGGGCGGCTTACAGAAGCACATGCAAGTGCCATAAACACATAAAAATACAGGTAAAATTGCATCATTATATTAAACAATGAACAATATCAGTTAACATAAAAACAATACATTACAAAAATAAAGAGCACACACAAACACATGTCTTTGCACCTCTCCACAAGCAGTCCAAAACCTTTTCCTTTGAATCATTAACTCGGTGTGCTGAATGAGCTTTTGAAGAAGAGCGCCCCCAAAAAACGTAAGGAAGGATTTCAGCATCTTTAGCATCTTCCGTTATGTAATAATAATAATAATAATAATAATAATAATAATAATAATAATAATCAGCATCAGCATCAGCATCAGCATCATCCAACACAACAGCCAGCGGGGTGATCTTATTTGCTGTGGACTCATCTTGTTGTGTTTCAAATGATAATAATAATTACAATAATAATTACAACAAGAAGAAAAAGAAAAACTTGGGAAGTGTCCTACGTGTGATCCAATACAACAGCCAGCAGAGTGTCTGCTGTGGACTCATCTTGTGGTGTTTCCAATAATAATAATAATAATAATAATAATAATAATAATAACAACAACAACAACAACAACAACAACAACAACAACAACAATATGTAGCATCGAACCCCCTTCCTTTGCTCCAAGAATTTGATTTCCCACAGAAAAAGGTCTCACTCCCCTTTTCTTTTGGGGGTTCATATCCTGGGAAGCCAGGGAACAAGGCAGCACTGTGATTTGCACAGAGGACTGCATGATATGGCAGCTAAGAACCAGCCTTAGCCATCTGCATCGCAGGGTCGGTGTACACCCGTATAATGCCACTCAATGCAGTACAGTGCAGTTCAGCCTGCATTATATGGGAGTAGAGCAGACATAGGCAAACTTTGGTCCTCGGGTGTTTTGGGCTTCAACTCCCAAAATTCCTAACACTAAAACATTACCACGATCCTATCCTCTTAAAGATCTATTCAGCATACAATCAAAACAGTACAGACAATTCAAAATAGGTCCAGGTAATAACAATAACATCATTTCAATGGAATAAAAGTATACAAAACAGATTACTAAGGCCTCATCTAGACTGACCATTCAATGCAGTTCGAAGGGCAGAGGTCAGACAACAGCCTCCCCCCCCCCCAAGTGCAAAAAAAAATCCCTGTACATGTTTTTTAAACACTGTCCAAGACACATTTTCATGCCTCAAATGTTAGCCATTTTGATTATAGTATTTGGACTGCTGATTCCAGAAATGGCACCAGTTTTCTTTTATCAGCTCTAGTTTTTGAGATACAGAACATATGTCATCTACCAGTTGCCATCTGGTCCTCATGATAGCCAGCCATTTCCAAGAATCTAGAGCTGAGGTGGTTTATCGAATGCAGTTTTCTGAAAATCAGCACCCCAAATAATCCCAGGAACAGACCTAAAAACCAAGACAGCAATATTTGGATTTCTGTCAGTTTTCTGGGCTGTATGGCCATGTTGCAGAAACATTCTCTCCTGACATTTTGCCCACATCTATGGCAGGCATCCTCAGAGGTTGTGAGGTTGTGAGGTCAGACCTCACAACTTCTGAGGATGCCTGCCACAGATGTAGAAAGTCAGGAGAGAATGCTTCTGGAACATAGCCAAACAACCCGGAAAACTTACAACAACCCAACTCTTGTCTGCTTGAGGCAGGTGTGAATGTTGCAATTGGCCACCTTGATTAGCATTTAAGGCCTTGCAGCTTCAAAGCCCGAATCCTGTCACCTCTGCAAGAGTCTACAGAAGTTGAGAGGCGAAACGTCAGGAGAGAATGCTTCTGGAACATGGCCATACAGGCCTGAAAACTCACAGCAACCCAAATATTGCTGTCTTAGGTTAAAGGCCTACTCCAGAGGTTATTTGGGATGCTGATTTTCAGAAAACTTCATTGGATAGACCACCTCAGCTCTAGTTTCTTAGATATAGCTGGCTTCGACAACAGCGACATTTGAATTTTGTTGGGCTTTTATAAACTTGGAGCTTGAAAGCGACCAATGCCGGGCCCCATTCAGAAGGAGGGCTTTCCTTCCCCAAACGCGCGCTGGGGGGCACCTACCTCAGGGACCCTGCCACTGCCAGGGAGGACAGAGGTGATGCCATCGGTGCCCAGCACCACGGTGCTCTGGCTCATGTTGATCCAGGCGTTGTTCTGCTCCAGGCCGGCCTTGCCCCCGGCGGGGCCTCCCTCCCCGCCGCCCTCGGCGCTTTGCAGCGGGGCGATCTTGCAGGGGGCCGAGGAGGGGGCCGACGGGGCGGCGCTCTTGGGGGGCCAGGCGGCGCCGCGGGGCTCCTGGCTGGGGGCCTCTCGGGGGCCTTGCGCGGGGGCCGCCAGGCAGATGCCCACCCGGGCCTCCTCCGAGAGCGCCGTGGCCACTTGGGCCAGCTGCGAGGGGACGTGCGAGGGAGGGTTCTTGGGCGGCTGCTCGCTTTCGGGGCTGTTGCGGATCAGGGCCGCGGGCCTGGGGGACACCGGGTCCGGGCTGTTGGCCGGCGGCTGTTGGCTCATCTCCTTGAGGCCTGCGGAATCCTGCAAGAGCAGAGTAGCGTTACAAAGCAGGAAGGGAAAAGCACTCCTGATATTAGTAGTTGCAGTAGTAGTAGTAGTAGTAGTAGTAGTAGTAGACGGACATGACTAGACTTAATGTTAGGGGGAACCTTTACCTTTACTACTAAGTAAAGGTAAAGGTTCCCCCTGACATTAAGTCTAGTCGTGTCCGTCTCTGCGGGGTGGTGTTCAACCCCATTTCTAAACCGAAGAGCCGGCGTTGTCCTTAGACGTGGCCAGCATGACTTCATAGCGCACCGTTACCTTCCCGCAGAAGCGGTACCTATAGATCTACTCATATTTGCATATTTTCGAACTGCTAGGTTGGCAGAAGGTGGGCCTAACAGCGGGAGCTCACCCCGCTCCCTGGATTCGAACCGCCAAGCTTTCGGTCAACAAATTCAGCAGCTCAGTGGTTTAACCCACTGCATCATCATCAGCTAGATTTAAACGTCCAAATACCTGCATTACATGGATCTAAACCAGGTTTGGGCAAACTTCGGCCCTCCAAGTTTCCAATGGGCTGGATCCAGACTTAATCCGATTTAAGAGTAGCTTTACTTCAATCAAGCGGCTGGATTTAGTCGAGTCGAGTGCAATGGATCTACTCAACGTTTGACCAAAGGAGGGTGCATATACATTGTAGAATGAGTGCTGTTTGGCCACACTTTTACTCCCATGGCTCAGTGCTATATGGAATCGTGAGAGTTGTAGGATTTACAGGGTCTTTAGCCTTCTCTCTCTGCCAAAGAGTGCTGGTGCCTCACCAGACTACAGTTCCCAGGATTCTACAGCACGGGCAATTAAAGTGGTGTCAAAGTACACCAATTCTACCGTGTAGATGCGCCCTTGGTCTGACTCTGGATTCAGCCCCAAAGGGGTTTCCTTCCTTTTAAAGCAGGCATGGGCAAACTTCGGCCCTCCCTCCAGGTGTTTTGGACTTCCACAATCCCTAACAGTCTCAGGCCTTTTCCTTTCCCCCCCTCAGCCGCTTAAGGGGAAGGAGCCTGCTAGGAATTGTGGGAGGTGGAGTCTGTTGGGTTTCATCCCTGACTGCACAAGTCTCCAGTCCTCAATGAGTAGCTAGACTAGATAGGATTTGAGTGAGGGATTCATCCCTCCACATTCCTATGCATGGTTATCCCAGAAGGGGATCTCTCTTTACTTCAAAGGGGGAGGGGCATAATGGCAAGAGAAGGAGACTTCTCTTGCCATTATGCTTCCCCCCCCCCCCCTTGAAGATGTAGCGATGATCTATGAAGGATGAGGGAATTTCCTCTTTAAATGTATTTTATTGCTCTGGCTTTTGGTCATGTGATTATTCTCCATTGCCTTTGTCTTCCTTCCAGTGAGGACGCATTTTGTCATTCTCCAGACAAAATGTAGCTGAATTGATACTTTTTGTTATTTTATCCTTTTACCTTCTAGATAAGATAGTATAGTAAGCTGGTGAGCTCCAAGACCTTTTCTATCCAGAATGGATTTCTTTGTACTCCAATAAATATTTTGAACCTGGCCTTGTGACTCTGCAATCCTGTGCCATCCTCTGTGAATGGAAGCTAATCCTGAAGTGTGCCTCTGGCACTCTGCTATATTTGTAGTAGAATCACCCCAAGTGAGGGATATTTTTGAGCCTGACAGCTCCCATTCCCATTGGAGGGAGGGCCAAAGTTTGCTCATGCCTGATATAGTGCAATTCAAATGTATATCCAGTCATCATCATAATTATTAATTGAGCATAAAAACACCAGGAAGCTACCTCAACACAAATTCTGCCTTCAGGCCAGAGTTAGCCCATCCAATTTATTTATTTATTTATTTATTTACCATATTTATACCCCCCCCCCCCCCGCGCTTCTCACCCCTTAGGGGACTCAGAACAGCTTACATATATAGGCAGCAATTCAATGCCAACATAATAAACATACATCAAATAAAATAATATATATACACATCGTAATATAATAATAAATATAAATATAATAATAATAATAATAATAATAATAATAATAACAACAACATCCAATCCATTGGGTTTATTTATATGTTGATTTCCTTATGTGCCCTCAAGTCCTTTCCTCTTTAATAATCACCCCGAAGACCCTTTCTTGGCGAGGTTTTGCCTTCCTCGGAGGCAGGGCCTGTGCCACTTTGCCTAAGGTCGCCCGTGACATCTACAGTGTAGATTCAGTGCTGTGCAGGCATGTAGCCAGGGGAGGGGCTTCAGCCCCCCCCCCCCCCCCGAAATTCTCATGGTGGTTCGAAAAGGCCTTACTGGTGCATTATTTAAACTGCTATGTTTATTCATATCATGATCTGATCACCATACTCAATATATCCCATATGCATGGGGATATTGGGGTAACGATACAAAAGGTTTGCTAGGGTAGACCCTCTTTCGCTCAGACTCGCCCCCCCCCCCGAAACAAACTCACCCCCCTCCCCCCGAATCGAAATCCTCGCTACGGGCCTGGTGCTGTGTAATGCCTGGTGCTGTGTAATGCGACTCAAGGCTTTAGAAACCTGGGAATGATATCCTGAGTTTTGTAGTTGTAGTTCATCAAAATACAGAGAACACTGTGGACTCAAATAATGATGGATCTGGGCCAAACTTGACACGAATACTCAATATGCCCAAATGTGAACACTGGTGGAGTTTGGGGAAAATAGACCTTGACATTTGGGAGCTGTAGTTGCTGGGATTTATAGTTCGCCTACAATCAAAGAGCACTCTGAACCCGGCCCACAATGAACCTGCACCAAACTTGGCACACTACCTACGTGGCCTACACTGAATACTGGTGGAGTTGGGGGGCAGTGTTTTTGAATTCTGGGAGTTGTAGTTCACCAACACCAAAAAGAAAGAGAAGGACAGGAAGAGAGATCTTCAGCTTTCTCTGCCAAAGGGGTTTCTAAGATCATCAGAAATATGCGTTTTCTGATGGTCTTTGATGACCCCTCTGAAACCCCCTTGCGACCCCCCTCCCCAGGGGTCCTGACCCCCAGGCTGAGAAACACTGCTGTAGATGCACTTGTACCAAGCTAGCTCTCTCCAGCTGGCTTTCCATTCAACTATCAATGGAATGGGTTTCCTCCATTTGCACTTGACCAAGAGCTAGCTTTTAAGACTGTCAAGAAGGCATCCTTAAAGGAGCGGTTTAGAGCCAAACAGCCACGTTATGGCATCTTTACCTCCATCCTATCCCACCGGCAGCCCTCCTTGGTTTTCTCATCACGGCCGAAGGGTGTTCCCTGCCCCCCCCCCCGCGCCGTTGCAGAAAGCATCTTTAATTTTACGCCCCATTTCCTCTCTGTCCTTCAGCAATGCAGCCTGTCTTTGGACTGGGGGGGGGGGGGCATCGGAGCAGGCGGGGAGGGAGAGGAGCCACGCTGCCCTTCCCGCAGCCAGGCCACACAAGCCAAAAGGAAAGCGGTTCTTCTCTTTCTAGCAATACCCCCCCCCCCCCAATTTTGACTCAACGCAGAATAAATAGGCACCATTCCAACTGAATAGTACAATCCTTGAAAGGTAAACGGATTCGAATGGGCTGGAACCAGACGTAATCCGATTTAAGAGTAGCTTTACTTCACTCAAGCGGCTGGAGTTAGTCGAGTCACACGAAATGCAAAGTTTGACTAAGGGAGGGTGCATAGAATGAATGCAGTTTGACCCCACCTTAAATACCATGACTCAATGCTATGGAATCGTGGGAGTTGTAGGATTCACAAGGTTTTTATCCTTCTCTCTCTACCAAAGAGTGCTGGTGCCTCACCAGATGGTCTTTGAGCATGGAGCCAAGCCAGTTAAAGTGGTGTCAAAACACACTGATTCTATAGTGTAGATGCGCCCTCGGTCAGACTTTGGATTCGGCCCCAAAGGGGTTTCCTTCCCTTTAAGGCAAGCATAGTTTTCCCCATGCTTGCCTTAAAGGGAAGGAAACCCCTACCGGCTATTAGGAATTGTGGGAGCTGAAGCCCAAAACACCTGGAGGGCCGAAGTTTACCCATGTCTGCCTTAAAGCATTGCAAGTGGCTCTTTTTCCTCCCGTCTTCCCCGTCCCTCTTGGCTACACGAGCACCAAGAACTATAAAGTTTCCCGAGCAGACCGTTTCTGCACAGTTTCAGCAGGGGGAAAGTCTTATTTTGGGCAGGCAGAAAAGAAATGAAAGAGGAAGGAAGGAAGGAAGGAAGGAAGGAAGGAAGGAAGGAAGGAGGGAGGGAGGGAGGGAGGGAGGGAGGGAGGGAGGGAGGGAGGGAAGAAGGAAGGAAGGAAGGAAGGAAGGAAGGAAGGAAGGAAGGAAGGAAGGAAGGAAGGAAAGGAAGGAAAGGAAGGACAGAAAAAGGAAGAAGAAAAGAAGAGAAGAGAGAGAGAAAAAGAAGCAACCTCTTTGGAAATTTGCAACACCCATTCCCACCTCCTTCAGTGGCGCAATGAGTTAAACCCAGGTGCCGGCAGGACTGATGACCGACAGGTCAGAGGTGCTAATCGAGATTCGAATGGGTTGAGCTCCTGTCTGTCAGCTCCAGCTTCTCATACGGGGACATGAGAGAAGTCTCCCACAGGATGATAAAATATCCGGGAGTCCTTTGGGCAACGTCCTTGAAGACGGCCAATTCTCTCACACCAGAAGCGACTTGCAATTTCTCAAGTCGCTCCTGACGGAAAAAAAACCCTTTAGTGACACAAACCCATACATAACCAGTAAACACCACTAAAAATGTAACTTCAGAAACTCAAAAGACGGCGACCCAGATTCTCTCCTCCCCGTTTGTCCTCTCCGCCTTGGTCCCTTCACTAGGGGTGCATCTACACTGTCGATTTAATGCTGACAAGCCGTAGCTTCTCTGCCCTGTATATATATTTGTATATACAGATATATATATTTGTATATACAGATAGATATTTGTATACATATATAGATGTATATATTTCAGATTTCAGTGTCAATGTCAAAAATACGTAGTAAGATTTTACATAGGATTTGTGCTACATTAGAACAGTAAAGACAAATATCACTTAAGTAAAACAAACATTAAATATTAGATAACCAGACAAATAAAATAAGGTGTAAACACTAAACTAATCTGGGAATCTGCTATTGCAATACATCCAATGAAGCGGTGTAAAACCAGTATTAAAAAAAGATTAGGACTAAGTCTGTTCCAGTCTACTTGGAATACCCGAAGTTCATTCCAGAAGTCCATAGCATTGAGCCATGGCAATAGAAGTGGAGTCCAACTGCAGTGTAAGCCCGAAAAGCCAGAGAGAACAGTGCGTTCAGCACCCTGGACAGCGCTCTCTGCCTGACCCGCTCCCAACACAAAGGACGTTCCCAACTTGAGTGGTTTAGCCCTCGGATCTCTTTCCTTAGCTCCTCAAAAGGAAACAGGGGCGGGAGGGAGGGAGGGACCCCACATACTCCCACATCAACCCTTACTTACCATCTCTACAACAGCATCGGCTGGAAGGAGCGTCGGGAGAGGGGGGATTGGTTTGGCCGAGCGAGAACAGCAGCAGCAGAAGAAGAAGAAGGCAAAGCAGGAGGCGGGCGAGAGCGCCAAGCTTTCTATACCTCCGAGGGAAAGACTGAGGGTTTGCGTCAGTGTAGAGCAAGGTGCCTTTCGTGTGACATTTTCGTGATAATAAGAGTTTGATAAATCATTACCCTTGCGTCCGGAGGTTAGGGCTTTTTTTAAAATAAAAAAAAGGACAACGAGGAAAAGCCGGCGCCCTGTCACTCAAGCGGAGGTTGGGATTTTGCGTGTTGGGTGTGAGTCACAGAGTTGGAGGTGGAGGGAGGGAGAGAAGAAAAGGGAAGGGAAGGAGGGGTGGGCACTGGCGTGGGCTTAGTGATGCTCCCTGTAAGCCCAGCCCTAACCAACGCAGAACTTTCTTGCTGTATTTAGAAGAAGAAGAAAAAGAAGAAGAAAAGGGGGGAGGGGGGAGGAAGAGAGAGAGGACACCAGAGAGACACGTCCAACTGCAGCCAAAGCACAAACACGAGCAAGAAAAGACCTCCCTCCACATCTCTCTTTCTCTCCCCCTCCCCTCCACACCCAACTCTGAGACACTGAAAAAGTTCCGCATTGAGGGTCCAAACAGCCACATTTTTCAGTCGATAGGCTTTACTTTTCGTGTCAGGAGAGATTTGAGAAATTGCAAGTCGCTTCTGGTGTGAGAGAATTGGCCGTCTGAGAGGACGTTGCCCAGGGGACGCCCGGATGTCTCCAGTAGGTAGGTTGAAAGGCATTGGTATTATTAGGGTAGCAAAGTTGCCACTGAACTTATTTTTCAATACATTGAGAAGAAAGTGTTTTTTTATTGTATCATTAGAAGAGTTGGAATTAACTGCCCATCTACAAAGCCTGTGACACATCTTTCTGCCACACTTAGGGCAGTATTTCGCTCCATAGGACCTCATGTCCTTTAGATGAAAAGAAAAAGTTTAACTATTTATTTATTTATTTATTTATTTATTATTTATTTGATGCATTTATTAACAGCCATTCTCAGCCCTTTAGGGCGACTCATGGCGGTGTACACACATATAAAAGACAATTTACAAAAGGCAATTACAACAACATATAAACTACACAACAATTACAAAGCTACACTAAAAATCCGCTTCGTCTCATAGTGGAATCATAACCAATCTCATATTCCTTATTCCATTCCAATCATCTTTACCACATTATTATAGCACTTAATTAAATGCCCTCTCGAACAGCCAGGTCTTGAGGCTTTTTCGGAAGGACATGAGGGAAGGCGCCTGTCTGATGTCTGCAGGGAGAGTGTTCCACAGCCGGGGGGCCACCACCGAGAAGGCCCTCTCCCTCGTCCCCGCCAGTCGTGCCTGTGAGGCAGGCGGGATCGAGAGAAGGGCCTCCCCAGACGATCTCAAGGTCCTCGTGGGCTCATAGGCCAAGATGCGGTCCGAAAGGTATTTTGGGCCGGAACCGTTTAGGGCTTTGTAGGCCAAAACCAGCACCTTAAATTGGGTCCGGTAGCAAATCGGCAGCCAGTGGAGCTGGGACAACAAGGGCGTTGTGTGCTCCCTGCCACCCGCTCCAGTTAGTAACATGGCTGCCGCGCGCTGAACCAGCTGACGCTTCCGGGCCGTCTTCAAGGGCAGCCCCACGTAGAGAGCGTTGCAGTAATCCAGGCGGGATGTGACCAGGCCAAGTCAGACTTCCCGAGCCTAAGCTGTGCAAATGCTCCCCTGGTCACCGCTGACACCTGGGGATCCAGGCTCAGCGATGAATCCAGGGTCACACCCAAGCTGCGAACCTGCGCCTTCAAGGGGAGTGCGACCCCATCCAGCACAGGCTGTAACCCTATACCCCGTTCGGCCTTGCGACTGACCAGGAGTACCTCTGTCTTGTCTGGATTTAATTTCAGTTTGTTCGCCCTCATCCAGACCGTTACAGCGGCCAGGCACCGGTTCAGGACCTCGACAGCCTCCTTAGTAGCAGGTGGAAAGGAGTGACAGAGTTGGACATCATCTGCCTACAGATGACACCGCACCCGAAACTCCGGATGATCTCACCCAGCGGCTTCATGTAGATATTAAACAGCATGGGGGACAGTATGGAACCCTGTGGAACCCCACAAGTCAAAGGTTGTGGTGTCGAACAGGAGTCCCCCAATAACACCTTCTGGGTGCGGCCCTCCAGGAATGACTGGAGCCACTGCAAAGCAACTATAGAGTGATTGAGTAAGGAAAGACGTCATTACTTTTTCAGAGTCTCTGGGCGTCTGTCTGTTGGGATCTAAAGCATGTTCAAAGGTAAAGGTTCTCAGTCCCACACTCTTTCTTTTCAGCTCAGGGTGAGGTTACCAAAAATCAAAAAGAGTTTATTTATGGAATTACTCAAAATCAAATAGGAATTCCGCTGATTTTAATAGTAAAAGAATCTCATCTGTCCTTCGGAAAGAAGTGGGATTATTTTCAGCGCAATAAGCTTGGCATGAAAATATATAGTTTGAGGGCATTTATAGCTTCCTAGGTTGAGTATTTCTCCACTTTTCCCCCTTCCATCCCAAGCATTATTGTCTTCTCACAATATGGCCAAATATGTTGTCAGAAGCGAATTGAGAATACACTGCAAGTTGCTTCTGGTGTGAGAGAATTGGCCATCTGCAAGGACGTTACCCAGGGGACGCCCTTATGTGTTGCTATCCTGTGGGAAGCTTCTCTCATGTCCCAGCATGAGCTGGAGCTGACAGATGGGAGCTCACCCCTTTTCCCGGATCAGATTTACCTGAAAGGAAATCATTTTGAATGAGAGCAATAAGCAACACTGTAATTGGAAACAGATATTTCTGAACAAATTCGCTCCCTTTTGCCACCCATGCAGTTGTGTTTGGTGGAGAAGCCAGAAAAAACTCCAGGCTTTGGAACTAACTCCCAGCTAAGGGAAGCCGAGATTAATCTCTCCTCAATTATCATTTCCAAATACCCTTCTGCATTCAGATGGTTCTTTAATGTTAACGCTGGGAATTTAGCAGAAGGGAGGGTTGACTACTAAGGTGTCATTTTTTTTAACCAATTGTCTGTTGTGGGTTTTTTTTTAAAAAAAAATCTAGTTCTATTTTTATGAAGTATTTCTGGGCTGTTAAAAAAGAAAGGAAATATTCTAACTTCAGTTGTAGTCTTTTTTTGGAAGGAAGGGGGAAAGATAATATGATACTGTGTTGTCGAAGGCTTTCATGGCCTGGGTTGCTGTGAGTTTTTCGGGATGTGTGGCCATGTTCCAGAAGCATTCTCTCCTTACGTTTCACCCACATCTATGGCAGGCATTCTCAGAGGTTGTGAGGTATGTTGGAAACTAGGCAAGTGGGATTTACATATCTGTGAAATGTCCAGGGTAGAAGAAAGAACTGTCTGTCCACATGCTTGTGGATTTCAATGGCTTCTCTGAGTAATCCACAAGCACGTGGACAATTTCAACAGAAAGGAGGAAACCATGAAAATGAACAAATTCTAGCTACCAGTATTAATAAAGAAACCTCTAAAATCAGGAGAGTAAATAAAGAGCAACACTCAAAAAACAGGAGAATTCCAGACAGGAAACAATCAGGGCTAGTTAACATTTCCCAACAAAAGATTCCCCCAGGCAGGAAGCAGCCAGGCTTTGAAATTGCAAGGCTATCCAATGCTAATCAAGCTGGCTAATTGCAATATTCCACAGATATATAAACCCCACTTGCTTAGTTTTCCCCATTTAAAATGTCAGTTTGGAAAAAAACGTGAGAAATATTCTGTTTAACCTCGGAGCAGGAGATTGAGAAACAAATATCAGTTTTGCTCTTAGTAGCATCTAGTTCAGCGTTTCAAAAATTGGTCCTCCAGTGGTTTTGGACTTCAACTCCAGGAAGCCCCAGCCAGCTTTGCTAACTATCAGGAATTCTGGGAGCTGAGGTCCAAACAGCTGGAAGACCAAAGTTTTGGAAACATGGGTTTCTGGTCTTTCCTCCCCTGCCTTCATCAAGGTTAGCATAACTCTATGAAATATGTGGTGCTTAAGGCACGTATAGACTCTATGAACGGAATAGAGTTTTCTTAGGGAAGGAATACTCAGGTTTGGCTAGTTCCTTGCTATAGTCTTGGAATACAGTCCTCAAACAGACAAGAGTTCCTTCTCCCACCCTGGACATTTCACAGATATATAAACCCCACTTCCCTAGTTTCCAACAGACCTCACAACCTCTGAGGATGCCTGCCGTAGTTGTAGGCAAACATCAGGAGAGAATGCTTCTGAAACATGGCCATACAGCCCGGAAAACTCACAACAACTCAGTGATTCCATCCATGAAAGCCTTCAACAACACCGTCCTGGTATTCATTGGAGGTCTCCCATCCATGTTCTAGCCAGGACTGACACTGCTTAACATCCAAGATCAGACGGGATCTGGTGCCTTTAGGGTATTTTAGGCCCCTAATCTTGTTAGATGCAAAAAGTCAATTACAAGAGACAAGCAATCAATTTCTATGATTAATTTTGTGAGGCAGAGCATCATTAGTTGGGGAGTGGAAATAGCATGAAAAATATGTAGTAGAATGTCTTTTGTATGAAGTCTAAAAATCTATTTTCTTGAAAAAATATAGGAGGCATATCCTATCTTTCTCACAAATACTGAGACGTGAAACGAAATAAGTCATTTATTTTAATCAAAAGGGAAAGTATAGGTTTTTGAGTCATCCTCCCAACAGTAATAATAAAATTCCAGTGGGAAAAAAAGATGCTGGAGTAATTTTGAACTTTTTCACGTAGCCATATAACCCAGAATATCAAGGCAGAAAACCCCACAATATCTGCTTTGAAGTGGATTATCTGAGTCCACACTGCTATATTCAAAGCAGAAAATGTAGGATTTTATTCAGCTGTATGGAAGGGGCTTTTGTCAGCAGCAAGAAAGAACTAGGAAGAGAAATACAAAATGCCTCACAGCTCATGACACTGCATTGTCTACTCTTTCTTCCTTTCAGTTACACCCCCCCCCCCTCTCTCTATGTATATAACGGTTGGTTTTCAGGTGTATTTTTAGGGTTTTAATTTAGAGTATTTTTTTTCTTGAGCAGAGAAATCGCAGGACCAGTTAAACTGCATTATCTTGTCGTTCTATCTCTCGACTCTTATTTGTCAAATTTCCTTTACCAATATTTCCAGTGTCCAAACCCACCTACACATTTACAATTTCTAAATCCACTGTTATGCCTGGTTTTCCAAAGAGAATCACAGAAATGGCTGCGGTCCTTAAA